GTTGTTGAAAAAAATCTTTAAAAATCCACGCCTATTGACCTGAAGATGTTGTTGAAAAAAATCTTTAAAAATCCACGCCTATTGACCTGAAGATGTTGTTGAAAAAAATCTTTAAAAATCCACGCCTATTGACCTGAAGATGTTGTTGAAAAAAAATCTTTAAAAATCCACGCCTATTGACCTGAAGATGTTGTTGAAAAAAATCTTTAAAAATCCTCGCCTATTGACCTGAAGATGTTGTTGAAAAAATCTTTAAAAATCCACGCCTATTGACCTGAAGATGTTGTTGAAAAAAATCTTTAAAAATCCACGCCTATTGACCTGAAGATGTTGTTGAAAAAAATCTTTAAAAATCCACGCCTATTGACCTGAAGATGTTGTTGAAAAAAATCTTTAAAAATCCACGCCTATTGACCTGAAGATGTTGTTGAAAAAAATCTTTAAAAATCCACGCCTATTGACCTGAAGATGTTGTTGAAAAAAATCTTTAAAAATCCACGCCTATTGACCTGAAGATGTTGTTGAAAAAAATCTTTAAAAATCCACGCCTATTGACCTGAAGATGTTGTTGAAAAAAATCTTTAAAAATCCACGGCTGTTGACCTGAAGATGTTGTTGAAAAAATCTATAAAAATCCACGCCTATTGACCTGAAGATGTTGTTGAAAAAACTGTTTAAAAATCCATGCCTATTGACCTGAAGATGTTGTTGAAAAAAATCTTTAAAAATCCATGCCTATTGACCTGAAGATGTTGTTGAAAAAAATCTTTAAAAATCCATGCCTATTGACCTGAAGATGTTGTTGAAAAAAATCTTTAAAAATCCACGCCTATTGACCTGAAGATGTTGTTGAAAAAACTGTTTAAAAATCCACGCCTATTGACCTGAAGATGTTGTTGAAAAAAATCTTAAAAAATCCACGCCTATTGACCTGAAGATGTTGTTGAAAAAAATTTTTAAAAATCCACGCCTATTGACCTGAAGATGTTGTTGAAAAAAATCTTTAAAAATCCATGCCTATTGACCTGAAGATGTTGTTTAAAAAAAATCTTAAAAAATCCACGCCTATTGACCTGAAGATGTTGTTGAAAAAAATTTTTAAAAATCCACGCCTATTGACCTGAAGATGTTGTTGAAAAAAATCTTTAAAAATCCATGCCTATTGACCTGAAGATGTTGTTTAAAAAAAAATCTTAAAAAATCCACGCCTATTGACCTGAAGATGTTGTTGAAAAAAATTTTTAAAAATCCACGCCTATTGACCTGAAGATGTTGTTGAAAAAAATCTTTAAAAATCCACGCCTATTGACCTGAAGATGTTGTTGAAAAAAATCTTTAAAAATCCACGCCTATTGACCTGAAGATGTTGTTGAAAAAAATCTTTAAAAATCCACGCCTATTGACCTGAAGATGTTGTTGAAAAAAATCTTTAAAAATCCACGCCTATTGACCTGAAGATGTTGTTGAAAAAATCTTTAAAAATCCACGCCTATTGACCTGAAGATGTTGTTGAAAAAAATCTTTAAAAATCCACGCCTATTGACCTGAAGATGTTGTTGAAAAAAATCTTTAAAAATCCACGCCTATTGACCTGAAGATGTTGTTGAAAAAAATCTTTAAAAATCCACGCCTATTGACCTGAAGATGTTGTTGAAAAAAATCTTTAAAAATCCACGCCTATTGACCTGAAGATGTTGTTGAAAAAAAATCTTTAAAAATCCACGCCTATTGACCTGAAGATGTTGTTGAAAAAAATCTTTAAAAATCCTCGCCTATTGACCTGAAGATGTTGTTGAAAAAATCTTTAAAAATCCACGCCTATTGACCTGAAGATGTTGTTGAAAAAAATCTTTAAAAATCCACGCCTATTGACCTGAAGATGTTGTTGAAAAAAATCTTTAAAAATCCACGCCTATTGACCTGAAGATGTTGTTGAAAAAATCTTTAAAAATCCACGCCTATTGACCTGAAGATGTTGTTGAAAAAAATCTTTAAAAATCCACGCCTATTGACCTGAAGATGTTGTTGAAAAAAATCTTTAAAAATCCACGCCTATTGACCTGAAGATGTTGTTGAAAAAAATCTTTAAAAATCCACGCCTATTGACCTGAAGATGTTGTTGAAAAAAATCTTTAAAAATCCACGCCTATTGACCTGAAGATGTTGTTGAAAAAAAATCTTTAAAAATCCACGCCTATTGACCTGAAGATGTTGTTGAAAAAAATCTTTAAAAATCCTCGCCTATTGACCTGAAGATGTTGTTGAAAAAATCTTTAAAAATCCACGCCTATTGACCTGAAGATGTTGTTGAAAAAAATCTTTAAAAATCCACGCCTATTGACCTGAAGATGTTGTTGAAAAAAATCTTTAAAAATCCACGCCTATTGACCTGAAGATGTTGTTGAAAAAAATCTTTAAAAATCCACGCCAATTGACCTGAAGATGTTGTTGAAAAAAATCTTTAAAAATCCACGCCTATTGACCTGAAGATGTTGTTGAAAAAAATCTTTAAAAATCCACGCCTATTGACCTGAAGATGTTGTTGAAAAAAATCTTTAAAAATCCACGCCTATTGACCTGAAGATGTTGTTGAAAAAAATCTTTAAAAATCCACGGCTGTTGACCTGAAGATGTTGTTGAAAACAATCTTTAAAAATCCACGCCTATTGACCTGAAGATGTTGTTGAAAAAAATCTTTAAAAATCCACGCCTATTGACCTGAAGATGTTGTTGAAAAAAATCTTTAAAAATCCACGCCTATTGACCTGAAGATGTTGTTGAAAAAAATCTTTAAAAATCCTCGCCTATTGACCTGAAGATGTTGTTGAAAAAATCTTTAAAAATCCTCGCCTATTGACCTGAAGATGTTGTTGAAAAAATCTTTAAAAATCCACGCCTATTGACCTGAAGATGTTGTTGAAAAAAATCTTTAAAAATCCACGCCTATTGACCTGAAGATGTTGTTGAAAAAAATCTTTAAAAATCCACGCCTATTGACCTGAAGATGTTGTTGAAAAAAATCTTTAAAAATCCACGCCTATTGACCTGAAGATGTTGTTGAAAAAAATCTTTAAAAATCCACGCCTATTGACCTGAAGATGTTGTTGAAAAAAATCTTTAAAAATCCACGCCTATTGACCTGAAAAAAATCTTTAAAAATCCACGCCTATTGACCTGAAGATGTTGTTGAAAAAAATCTTTAAAAATACACGCCTATTGACCTGAAAAAAACTTTAAAAATCCACGCCTATTGACCTGAAGATGTTGTTGAAAAAATCTTTAAAAATCCATGCCTATTGACCTGAAGATGTTGTTGAAAAAAATCTTTAAAAATCCACGCCTATTGACCTGAAGATGTTGTTGAAAAAAATCTTTAAAAATCCACGCCTATTGACCTAAAGATGTAGTTGAAAAAAATCTTTAAAAATCCACGCCTATTGACCTGAAGATGTTGTTGAAAAAAATCTTTAAAAATCCACGCCTATTGACCTGAAGATGTTGTTGAAAAAAATCTTTAAAAATCCACGCCTATTGACCTGAAGATGTTGTTGAAAAAAATCTTTAAAAATCCACGCCTATTGACCTGAAGATGTTGTTGAAAAAAATCTTTAAAAATCCACGCCTATTGACCTGAAAAAAATCTTTAAAAATCCACGCCTATTGACCTGAAGATGTTGTTGAAAAAAATCTTTAAAAATACACGCCTATTGACCTGAAAAAAACTTTAAAAATACACGCCTATTGACCTGAAAAAAACTTTAAAAATCCACGCCTATTGACCTGAAGATGTTGTTGAAAAAATCTTTAAAAATCCACGCCTATTGACCTGAAGATGTTGTTGAAAAAAATCTTTAAAAATCCACGCCTATTGACCTGAAGATGTTGTTGAAAAAAATCTTTAAAAATCCACGCCTATTGACCTGAAGATGTTGTTGAAAAAAATCTTTAAAAATCCACGCCTATTGACCTGAAGATGTTGTTGAAAAAATCTTTAAAAATCCACGCCTATTGACCTGAAGATGTTGTTGAATAGAAATCTTTAAAAAATCCACGCCTATTGACCTGAAGATGTTGTTGAAAAAAATCTTTAAAAATCCACGCCTATTGACCGAAGATGTTGTTGAAAAAAATTTTTAAAAATCCACGCCTATTGACCTGAAGATGTTGTTGAAAAAAATCTTTAAAAATCCACGCCTATTGACCTGAAGATGTTGTTGAAAAAAATCTTTAAAAATCCACGCCTATTGACCTGAAGATGTTGTTGAAAAAATCTTTAAAAATCCACGCCTATTGACCTGAAGATGTTGTTGAAAAAAAATCTTTAAAAATCCACGCCTATTGACCTGAAGATGTTGTTGAAAAAAAATCTTTAAAAATCCACGCCTATTGACCTGAAGATGTTGTTGAAAAAATCTTTAAAAATCCACGCCTATTGACCTGAAGATGTTGTTGAAAAAAAGTCTTTAAAAATCCACGCCTATTGACCTGAAGATGTTGTTGAAAAAAATCTTTAAAAAGCCACGCATATTGACCAGAAGATGTTGTTGAAAAAAATTTTTAAAAATCCACGCCTATTGACCTGAAGATGTTGTTGAAAAAAATCTTTAAAAATCCATGCCTATTGACCTGAAGATGTTGTTTAAAAAAAAATCTTAAAAAATCCACGCCTATTGACCTGAAAATGGCCTGGATTTTTTTTTAATCCACGACGAATAGATATTTGCATAACCTCAAAAATAAATATGAATCAACTTCGTAACAATCAAGCCCACCTCTAAAACCAGATAAAACCCCCAAAATTATTATCTTTTCAAAATTACAACAAAAATCTCCTAACAAAAACACATTATCCAACCCACAAACAATATCTAGTAGTTCACACGTTCAACACACGCTCCCGCACACACACTCACGCACTTTATAATTACCGCTACATTAACGATGACGACGACGACCTTCCCCACACGAAACTGGGTAATTTACTTCACCTCATTACTCACCATTTAAATCAAGGTAGGCCAGCGATGCTGGCACCCCCTCCCGCCAACGTGGCAGTGTGACAAACAGCCGCGTCTTATAGATCTCAATGCCGAATGGTATAACATTTTCGGGTTTGAATTCAAAATTTTCTATGGCCTGCCAACGTAACTCGGAATTGGCATATTTGAAATCCATTTCTTTCCATTCGTAGGCCACGCGTAAATTGTCATTAGCCTCAATGGTGGTGGCAACAAAGGCAAGCGTCAACAAGCACAACATCCCACACGGCCACCCTAACGATGCGAAACATTTCAACTTCGCCGTCATTATTTCCGCACTACTTCAGGTGGTATTTTGAAAACTTCTTATTTGGGAGTTCTGCAAAGAAACAAAAAACGAATAAAAATTAGAAAGGAATTATTTCCATAAGTACCTGGTACCCAATGCTCTTAAATAGCTAACTTCTAAGCATTTTGGCCTTGAGGTATTATTTAAAATCTCGCTTTTTTGTTCTGTTTTCAATCTGTGATTTAACATCAATTCAACAAGCGATTGTTTATTATTGTTGTTGTTTCTTTTTTTTAAGTTGGCATTTGATATCTGTGCTTCGAATTGTCTACCACTTGGGCATTGTTAAGTGCGTTATGTTTTGTCGGTGATCTATGCGAATCAAATGGCAATTCTATTTCTCTCATCGCCTATAGACTTGTCAGAAACCTAAACCAGGGATGGAAAATCGAAATCTTTAAAAACTACAAAATATGTTTCGTATAGAGAGCTTCAAATACAGGGTGAGATAAAAAACTGCAACAAAGTCAAAAGCCATAATTTTGGCATTTTTTAAATTTCATTGATTGAAAGGAAAGGATCGGAAATAGAATCAAATTTTAGAATAAGTTTAGATTTGTTCGAATTGGCCACCTTTGGCACGAATTATGGCCTCCAAACGGCCAATGAAACAGTCACACGCTACCCGAATGTTGCCCTGCGGTATTTTGGTCCATTTCCGTCCAAGCGCTTGCTCCAGGTGATCGACACTTTGGTATTTTTTAGTGCCAACCTTGTTTTCCAAAATACTCCAGACACAATAGTCCAACGGATTGGTATCCGGAGATTTTGGTGGCCATTGTGCGCTGGAAATGTAACCATGTTGTAACCATTCTTGGGTGGCGCGTGCTGAGTGCGGTGGTGCTGAGTCCTGTTGGAATGCCCAAGGTCTGCGGCTAAAATGTTCGCGTGCCCAAGGCTTTAATACACCCTCCAGAATATTTTCGCGATAATATTCGGCATTTATTCTGATGCCACGGTCGATAAATACGAGCGGAGGGCGACCATCGGCTGTTATGGCGGCCCACACCATCACCATGGCCGGCGCTTGAGTTCTGGTGGCCAACCGAAGTTGCACATTTTCAACTGACCTCCTTGGAAAGTAAACACGATAATTTTGTTTGTTTACAAACTGCTACACAACGAATGTTTCCTCATCGGAGATCGGAGAAAACCAAATTTGGCAGTTCACCAAGCGAAGCAATTCTTTAGCTCTTTTGAGTCTATTTTCTTTCAGCTGCGGTGTAAGTTCTTGCAGTTTTTGGAATTTCAATGGCTCTACCCCGAGCATTTTTAGGCAATTTTTTTTAAGGATCATTAAGAGCCATGTAAGGGACTTTTTAAAGAATATTGTCTGTGAGCCTAAAAAAGAGATTTTAAGAATAATTTTCAATTATCATTTTCATAGCCTTTAACGTGGATTTCAATGATCTTTCGAAACCATGGTTTTTTTAAGAATGTTTTCAAGGACCCTTCAGAGCCATAAATGTGGATTTTTTCAAGAATATTTGTCTGAGAGGTTCAGAGCCTAAAAAGTGAATTTTTTTAAGATACATTTATTTAAGCCATTCAGAGGCCTTTAAGAAATATTTTCAAGAATAATTCGGAGCCAGACAAGTGGATTTTTTTCAAGGACATAATTTTTAAGAACATTTTCAAAGATCGCATTCATAAACGTGGATTTTTTAAAGAAATTTTTCGAAGAACCCACAAGTGGACATTTTAGGACAAATTTAAAAAAAAAACCAAACGTAAACTTTTTAAGGAAGGATCAGAGAGCCATAAACCTGAATTTGTAAGAAAAATGGCAAGGATCAAACTAGGCATTAACGTGGATTTTTTAAGAAAAATGCAAATAGCCTTAAGAAGAATAATTTTACGCATTATTTTGACCGGAGACAGGTAGGTCTCTTTGGACCATATCGCTCCTCTTTTGGACAATATCGCTCCTCTCCATCAAGTACCTTCTCCACAAAGGTTCAAAATTTTGTATAATTATAACTCTAATAAAATGTAAACTAAAAGTCCGATTGTCTTCAAATTTGGTAGATCCCAACAATTCTGCCAACACATGATCTGATCGAAAGAACGGATAGAACTGACCACGCCTTCTGGCAACTCCATATGTTGAATTATCATAAGCTCATAAAAAGCATCGGATAATCATCGGATTACTTTTAAATTTGGCTCATCCCAATACTTCTATTAACACAATATATGGTGTGAAGATGGAATATATCGGACCACTCCCTCCCGTTTCTCTCCCATAACGGTGAAAAAATTAGAATAATTATAACTCTCATCAAAGGCGAAATAATCATCCGATTCTCTTCAAATTTCACACATCCCAATATTTCTACTAACACAATATCTGGTGTGAAGTTGAAAAGTATCGGACCACTCCTTCAGGTACTTACCCCACAAAGGGTCAAAATTTTGAAGAAACATGAAGCTTATAAAACGCAAAATTATCATCCGTTTGTCCTCAGATTTCCGACATCCAAATATTTTTATTAACACTAGATCTGGTGTAAAGATGATAGATATCGATCCACTGCCTATGGTACCTTTCCCATAAAGGGTCCACATTTTGAATAACTGGGAAGTTCATAAAACGCGATATGAGCATTCGATTTTTTTTAAACTTAGTACATCCCAATATTTCTATCAACACAATATCAGGTGAGAAAATGAGCTTTATCGGATCACTCTTTCTGGTACCTACCCCACAACGGGTCAACATTTTGAGTAACTATGACTCTCATAAAAGGCGAAATAATCATCCGATTCGCATAAAATTTCTCATATCCCAAAATTTCTACTAACGCAAGATCTGATATGAAGATGAAATATATCGGACCACTCCTTAAGGTACCTTTCCCACAAAGGGTAACAATTTTCAATAATTGTATACCCTCCAACATAGTATGGAGGGTATATTAAGTTTGTCATTCCGTTTGTAACACCTCGAAATATACATTTTAGACCCCACAAAATATATATATTCTTGATCAGTATAAAATTCTAAATCACTCTAGCTTCCGAACGAAATGAAGTAGGTGGATAAAATTTTACTCAAATGTACTATGTCTGCAGGGCTTTTGGTATTGAAAATGGGTCATGTAGGTCCACGTCTTTCCATAGCCTCCATATAACGGTACCTCCCGATATTCGGTATTTTAATGATTTTAGCGACATTATTTGCCGGAACTATTTCAAATTTGGTACTTAAAGTGCGTAATGAATATGACAGAAAATTGTCTGTGCAGGTCCACGCCTTCGTATAGCCCCCATATAACGGTACACCCCGATATTCGGTATTTTGATGATTTTAGCGACATTATTTACCGGAATTGTCAAATTTTGCATTTGAAGTTCGTAATGGATATTACAGACTATGACAGAAAATTGTCTGTGCAGATCCACGTTTTATAACCACCATGGTACCTCCCTATATTCGGTATTTTCATGATTTTAGCTACATTATAAACAGATTTTTTTTTTCAAGTTTCGCATTTGAATATTGTAATAGCTTGTGACAAAAGTTACCTATGCATGTCCACGTCGTCGTATAGACTCTACGGCTGCATTAGGTATTTTCAAGATTTTTACAGAATTTTTAACGAATTTTATTTTTTTGAAAATTGTTAAATGGTGGAGGATATTCCAAGTTCGGCCCGGCCGAACTTACAGCATTTTTACTTGTCATCTCTCATAACTTGCGAAACAAGTTAGCAATCTTTTTCAATTTTGGTATATCGACTCAACCAGAGATCGACTAAACCAGAGATCTTACAACCAGAGATCTGATATGAAAATGGAATCTATCGGTCCTCTTCTTCTGGTACCATCCCTAAAAAATGTTAAAATTTTGATTAACTAAATAAGAATTTATTAAGAACACATTTTAGAGTACTTAAGTGCCAGTCCATTAATCCACCTTTTTATTAGCCACTCCTAATTAATGTTAAATCACAAGAAATCCCCACCTTAGGATCAATTAAAAACTCATAAAATCGGACAATTTGTGTAGCTCACTTAGTGGCTTTGTTCTGCTGAATTGAGTTATGACTCTCAACCGGGCGATGAGAAATCGTTTATCGTTGTTATCTCAAACGACTTGACTTCGTTTTGTATAAATTACCCATTGATTCGAACACTAAAAGGTCATTTTAGAACCAATAATTTGTTGCCAAGCTGTTTAACGGTAGGAATGAGAACCGAGAGATCTTCATAAATTACCTACACACACACACCCATAAAATAATAACAAGCGATTTAGAAAGGGAAAATTAATTCAATAGCCTAAAAACGAAGAGTTTAAAAAAAGCCGAAAGACATGGGACACACCACTCCCGCTTAGACCTTTCACTAAATTACTTTTGAATTTGTAGCATCTTTTGGACAACAAATACAAGCCAACAACGTTATGTGTTGTTGTAGCATCTAACAATAATAACAACAACTAAGAAACACACGCGCATGCTCTTTGATAATATTTTTTTCGGCCAGAAGGCCTTTCCCGTAACAAATATAAATGTTAATTTGTCATCAAAGAATCTTCTCTGAATAGTTCAGGTGTTCGAACATCTTGCGGGAGAGGGAAGCAACATCTGTCACCGAAACTCACACACATGCATGCGCACACTCTTTTTGGATCATATCATCCCCAAAATCAACTCACCTATGATCAAATGTTTTTGAGCCACGGTTGCCGGGAGGACATATGTTCGATGTCTACACTAACTGAATGGTTTGAAAATATCTTATATTCGACTAAGTCTGTGTTTTGAACAATGTAATATTTGGCCATGGCGAAATGATTAAATGAAAGATGTGCCATTAAAAGATTGCACGCTCCAATCATCTATTCAAAACTTTGATGTTTTGAATCTGATGACAATCACGGCCTTTAAAAAGAAGAAAAAAATTTAATTTTTATCAATACCTATTTTTTTTTAAATTGAAGGCATCAAAACCAAAATATTTCCGGTGCTTTCCGGTTAGAAAAAATGCCTTTCATTTTGAGGTTAACCGAGGCGGATATTAGT